AACTCTCGCATTGCAGGTCTAGAGACCTTCGTCTCCGTTGCTAAGACGCTTCCGTCACCCGAAATATATGATGTCGTGGAGGGATACGTAAAAATTTCCATGGAGTGTGCTGAAATATTCAAACTTCTGGATGGAGAAAGGAAGCCTGAAAGTGAAGTAAGTTGGCCGTGGGTGTTGTAGTGTAATAGAGTGGCAACGTGTCCTGTCTGGGAGAGGAACGGCCAAGGAAATGCTTTGTGGCATAAATAATTCTGATAATTTGGAATGGGATTTGGTGGTTTTTTTGTGTTTTGTTTTGTTTGTTTGTTTGTTTGTTTGTTTTTTTCTGGAAATCGCAGTGGCAGAAGCACTGATCAGGTGGGAAATGTCCTTTTCAGTGCAAAGATGTTCCTGGATTTAATGACACACACAACCAGTAGTCTGGCCAAAGTCAAGCTGTTAAGGTTCTTTAAATACTGTCAAAAGATCATTTAAAAAATAAGGGGGTCAACAGAAGCAGTTAAACAAACAAAAAATAGAATAGTCCAGTGATGGTAATTGCTTTTAGATAACTAGACATCTCTCTGATACATCAGTATTTGTAGGAAGCCACTGGTAGAGTTGACTTAATTTTTCTCATCTGAGCTGGACAGTTTTTCCTCATCAGAATATGGTGAACTAAAGAAGAACTCTTTCACTGTGAATACTGTGGCAGCATTTTTAATTTAAATCTGCTTATGAGGTAAAATTGAATAGTGTTGTTCTTAACCTCCACTTGTCGGTCTTTGTATTAGATTATCATCTTTGTCTTTGTGATGATGGCCTGTCTCAGGTTCAGTGACATGCTTTCTTCAAGATCCTCTTACTAATAGAGGCTAATGCTTGTCATGAATACAGTCCCAGTGCTGTGGGGACATGGGAGTCATTTAGAAGGACTTAATTGCAAGACTGGAGCAGCTCAGGTGGTTTTCTTCAGCGTGTTTCATTGAGCACTTACTAGCTGTTGTTTCTTAAAGCATCTGTTCATTAGCCCTAGGCCCTGACCTCCATCTGGAAAAATGCCTTCAAGTCCCATCAGCCTATGCTGAGGTTTGCACTGCAGTCAGTGTTTGCATCCCCAGAAGCGGCTGTTGTGCAGAGGCAGATAAATCACGCATGTAGGTCTCAATACACGTGTGAGGAGGGACCCTTTTTTACATTCACTTTTTTTGTTCAGGATTGTACAGGCCTTCAGTCAGCACGTCGGCTTGAGCTTCCAGTGGAGGTTGTCCCTCCTTACTACTGAATTTCATGAGTTTAGCAACTGAAGAAAAAAAGGAGTCATCTGACCTCCTGTGGTTGTCTGGTCTTTCATATAGTATCTGTGTAGGGGCTTTGAAATTCGCACTCTCAGAACTAAACCTTTAGAAGACAAAGCATTAATTTGGGAGAGAATTCAGAAGTTAACTTCTCCTTCATATGTGGAAGCTTTTCTCTTGTGGTAGGGTTACTCTTTTTTTGATGGTGTTTGTTGCTGTTTGCTCAGCTAATAATTTCAAGCCGTACAGTTATCAGCAGTTATTAACCTATTTCTGTATCTTACAGATGCTATTAATCTTTCAAGCTCTAGAAGCCATTTTACTGAGAACAGCCAGTGACCTCTCCCATTTTTCTGTTGTGGGAATGAACATAGTAAAAAAGTTGATTCATTCCTACATGAGACTGGTCTATGCAGCTTTGTATTCTGAGAATCACAGGTAAGTTTTCCCCGTACTGTTGGGGAAAATCTCTGTTGGTTGCTCTGAATTGATCCTGAGGGGCTGTCTGGGCCTTGCACATGTGTACAAGATGTTGCAAAACTCAGCTTGACTTCTTGCTAATAATCCACCTTTATTTAGTGGCACCGTTCCACGTTTCATAAAATAATTGCATGTGGAAGCCTTTGCAAGGTGGAAGCTCTGATGGAATACACAATCTAATGCCGTATGATGCTTTCCTGAGGCTGTAGTTTTCATTGTTTGTGCCTGTCCTAGTGAGAGGTAAAGCAGATGGTATCTTGAGTTCTATTATTTTAATGCTACTTGGTTTGTGCAGTGAAATGTACTGCGTGGAACTGGGGGGAACAGGCTTTCTTGTAGTTCACAGAGGCTGAACAGTCTATCTCATGATGGCAAGAAGAGCTGCTCTTGAGTGTTTTATTTTCCTGTCTTTTTGTAGTCAGATTTCCATGTTTATAATAGAATTTTTTCTTTCAGACTGGCTTTTCCTCTGTAACCTTTCCTGTCTCTTAAATCTAAGGCCATTTAGGCCGATTTAAGCACTCGCGTGTCCAGTCTAAACAAAAATTTCTCTTGATGTGTGGACAGGGTGAGAGAAGTTCCAAGCACCAGAGAAATTTTAATACAAACCTGGGAGGAAGAGGAAGGGAGAGAAGAAAATAGAGACTGCAAGTCACTTGTCCAAGGCCAATGATTTGTCTTTTAGTCTTTGGACAGGCCAGAATTAGAAAAGCATTTTCTGCTTTCCAGTTCATGGACACAGCCATACTTCCTGCACCACTCAGTTGATCTTATTGCAACAAGCATTTTAGCTGTGCATAGGATCCCAAATACGAGTGGATAGGTATATTGTAAAATAAATTTTGAAACTATGCAAGATCTGCACTTCTTACTCAGCATTTAAAGATTATCGCTTTTGGAGAAGTCCTAGAACCTGCATAGAGGAGGCTGCAGATTTCTGGTGGTATCCTGATGGTATATACTCTCCTTTTTCTGTGCTGCCTCTTCGATGTGCAAAGGGATTATGGTGGTATGTCTAGGTGGGATCTCTGCTTTAATCATACAGCTTTCATACAGATTGTCCATGAAAGAAACATGATGGACAGATTCCAAAACCCTTAGTGGGTAGTGGCTGTTCAGATGATGGAGATCTGCAGGCTTGTACCTGATGGCCCTGTCATGTTCCCACTGAAATATATGTCAAACTCCCATGAATTTAGGAATTCTTAATTTTTGGCACTTTCCTCCTTTTACTTATTAAGTGAATACCCATCCTCTCATTACAGCTTAATTTTTGGCAACAACATAAATAGGCATTCCCTTTTCCCTTCTTCCCTCTCCCTTCCTTCCCAGTTGCCATTATCACTGCCCAAAATAATGGTTTCGGTTGTTTTTACTTCCCTACTATTTTCTCAGGCAAATTTTTCCAGTGGTCAGTGAGCATGAATCAAAACTGAGCGTAGGTCTTGGGATTTACTTCATGACAAGAACATGCTGCACATTTAAACTAAAGAAAAACTCTGTCATTCAGCTGAAACACAAAAAATGCAGTCTGTCTTTCGCCTACGCTGCATGTGTCCTTGACTTAAGCATCAGCTGTAGCTCCTATGCACCTGCTTGTGGCAGTAAAGCACTTAAGCGCTGGCGAGTCTGGGGGCTCTGTTCAAGAAATGTGCTTGCAGAAATAAGTTGGAAGCCTGTATTGTGATGGTCATTAAAATGGTTGGTTACATAGTCAACTGAAAATCCCATCAACTGCAGCAAGAGCTTTGCATGACCAGGGATACTTTCTTAATGGCTGTCTTGATTGCTCGTGTTGAGACTGACTCAGAACTGCTTCATGCCTGAAACTCCTGAAGGCTTGGGTGGATGTTGGACGTGGTGTGGGATAATTTGTTTTACAAGAAAAAGGTCTTTCTTTAAATTTTAATCTCTTGATTTGATTGTTTGTATAACTGTCATCCTGAAAATAACCTGCAGGTTTTCCTCTGCCTTTCATTTTAGGATGAGCCGAGTGTGCCTTACCCTGTTGTCAGCAATGGTGGCTCAGGGGCCAGATTCAGCAAGGGATGTGTGTAGCCATTTTGATTTCAATAATAAGTTTCTGCCTGGATTATTGAAAAAAAGATGTAAGAAGGTAAATTAAGCTGCTGTATCCATGTAATGCTACACCATGCCTCCATGAGTTTTCTTCTACCAAATCTTTAAAACTAAGCTGCTGCCAAAGTCTCCATGCTGTATTTTCATCTTTATTCCTGTCCTGTGTCAGGCTGAAAAGCTTCTTGATTGTTTCTGATTTGCAGCAGAAATGATCTATGAGGCAAGAACTTCCCACCTACTTATATAGAAAATCCCCAGGGGATGTTTCTGAGTATCTGCAATAGTGGGATAGCGGGCACGAACCCTTGAGGTATAGCTTGCTTCATTTTCCATCCCATGCTAGTCTTTCTCACCTTGTCAGGGTGCAGAGCTCCTCAGGATAACCTTGGTTTTACACTGCTTTGTAGAATTTACTGCAAAACATCAAAGTGCTTTGTTTCTAATAAGCTGTGGTGAAATATAAATTTCACAGAATCACTGGGTTGGAAAGGACCTTCAAGGTCATCAAATCCAACCGTTAATCCAGCACCACCATGTCCC